CAAACAGGAAGTAGAAGTGTCGTCGTTTCAGGAGAGTCACTTTTTCAATTTGCCACAGTGAGTGAGAGCTGCTGCACAAACTCATACAGTGTGTGTGTGCGTGCGTGTCTGTGTGTGCGTGTGCGCGCGTGTGTGTGTGCGTGTGCGCGCGTGTGTGTGTGTGTGTGTGTGTGTAGGGGATGCTGGAGCCAACCAAAGAGCCTGTGAAGCCCGTCTCTGCTGCAGAGATGATCGCCTCGATCGCCCAGGCGCCGCCGCTGGTACCTGAGAAAAGCTCCTGTCCTACAGACTCGGTCCAGGTGAGACGGGGAGGCGGGCCGACAGGTGACCTCCGAGCAGGATTCAAATGCAATGTGATTGGCTGATAGTGAGAAACGCTGCCACAGTTTGAATGTTTGACGTCGTTTCCTCTAAGCGATGGCAGGTGAAGTCCTCGCCGTCACGAGGACGAACAACAGCTGTGACATATGTAACATGTGGAATTGACCCTGACACCGTTCCCACGTGTGGGCGTGTCCTTGTGTTTACATGATTCTCACACACACCTGGTACATGACTGAGCTGCTCCCTCTCCTCCAGCAGGAGGCGCTCCCACCCGTCCAGTTCGACTGGAGCAGCAGTGGCCTTACCAACCCGCTTGATGGTAGGTGACCCCGCCGCCTCTGCCGCACTGACTCCTCCTCCTCCCGCTCACAGCTCTTCTCTTCTTCCACTTCCTCTATTTATTGTAGTGTTTCCTGTTAGCTGCTTCAGTTTGTACTTCACAGCCAATCACACACCAGGAGGCGCTCTGTGTATAAAACAACCATCAGTCACTTCCTGTTTCCTGACTCTGAGTCGCTGTGGCCCACAGATGTCAGAGGGCGCCCAATGATGCCATGTCTTTGTTGGTGAACCGTCCCCTTATTTTGAAAGTTCATTCGCTGCTGTTTCCTTGCGTCAGCCATCAGTGACTCTCGCTGAAGTCTGATAACCTCCATAAGAGGCTGACTGCGGCGCCGCGCTGCTGTGTCATGTGCTGCGTCATCGCTGTTCAGGTCACCTCGTAGGGTTTCAGAGCGGCTTGCAGTCCCTGCAGCATCAGTAGCTCAGCAGGCTGCTGTGGTTTCAGAGGAGACCGGAAGGCTCCGCCTCCCATTCTAATTTTAAATAAGCCTGCAGTGTGAGAGCGAAGTGCTCTGATTGGATAACGCGGTCCTAAATGCCCCTCCCACCTGCTACAGTCCAAACGTCGTGGGCTTCAGTGAAGCGGTGCACTGAGCATGTGCAGACTGAGAAGTGAAGTAAATCTGCTGCATGTGGAAACGAACGTCTCCGGTTTCTCTCACTGATTCTGCTGCATGTGTCTCTCTCTCTCTCTGACTGTGTGCGTTAACCTCGCTCGCCCGGCTCTGCAGCCAGCGGAGGCTCGTCTCTCTTAAACCTGGACTTCTTTGGTCCTGTGGAGGACTCAGGCTCCAGCAGCTCGCCCTCCATCCCAGGTCAGCTCCAGCATCCTCCTCCTTTGAATTAACCTCCATCTGCTCCTCTCACTCGCCGCACTCTCGTGCTTCCTGACCGGGTCACATGACCATCCCGACGTTTGATCCTGGTGCTCATTTTAATGTCATTTTAGTCACGTGACTGTTTCGCAGCTCAGAT